GCGCGACACTGAGGGTTGCGATCCGTTGCCGGACACGAAAAAAGACAAAAAGGAAAAAAATTAAAAAAAGAGCCAGTGCAGCTTTTATACAAGACTTGTTATTCCCACCAAAAGAACGTTCAGGCTCTGAGGTCTTCTCGGTCCTTATTGGACTTGATCTCTCTGCAGTCTGGTTGGTGTGGCCACCCCATAGTGTTTGAAATTCTTTTCTCTTGGTCACCACTACACTGTTATCTCCTGTTTTTACCTTCCTGATCACACCTGTTCAGGATCCCACGCTAACTCCCTCCTTTGAACACCCCCTAAGTATTATTGAACTCTCCTCCCTTCTGTTGTTTCAACCATCATGTAAGTATTCTTTGCAGCCACCTTTCCACCTTGGGACACATCCTTTGTCCATAACTTTGAGCCTTTGTAAAGTAATTTAATATCTATCAATCTTTGTTTCTTCATCCATAAATGGGAATATCACCTATCTCATAGGGTTATAGAAAATGTTAAGTAAGATAATATGCATGAATGTGCTTTTGAAAATGTAAGTCACTGTACTCATATTTGGTATGTGTTGTTGGTATAATGGCACTCCAAAGTGGCAACTTTAAGAAATTAACATACATAAAATAAACACAAACTCAAGTCACGAGGTCTTTGAATGTCCAAACTTTCCCCTGGTAATTTGAAGGGGTTCCCTTACCTTGCAGCATCTCTGAGTTATCGTTAGGAGGACCAATCACCTGTTGACCAGACCACAGAGCCTTCAGGCAGTTTGTGCTGACTGGTGAATTCCCACTGAAAAAAAATTGTGCCCTATTTTCACAGCAGTGTAAAATACCAGCTCCAGCAGGAGGCCCTTTAGGAGCTACAAAATAGCTTGGTTCCAGACATTTTTTTTTGCCAGTTGGGGACCTAGCTTCACCCAAGGCCCAATCACACTTTCTGCCTTGGCTTCTGTGAGATATATTTGCATCCTTACAGTAAATTCTGTTTGTGGTTTAACTAGCTTGACAGGATACAGAAGGGGAGATTTTGCCTCCAGAGGATATTTGGCAATGTCTGAAGACATCTTTGATTGTCAGAAACGATGGGATGGGGGGGATAAGGGAGTGGGTATTGGGGTGTTACTGGCATCTAGTGGGTAGAAGTCAGGAATGCTGCTAAACAACCTAAGAAACACAGAATAGTCCCCAGTAACAAAGACTTACCTAGTCGCAAATTTCAGCAGTGCCAAGGTTGAGAAATCCTGGGATACTGTATTCTATCATCCTAACCCCCTTTATTCCAGCCCGTGAGTCGTTTCACACATCAGAGTTAAATTTCGAGCAGTGATCCACATTATCAAAACAAAAGTGACTTTCCCTCTTTGGGTCAACTTTGCCTTCCTGGGGTGGAGCCAGTACCAGAAATCTCCAGGGACAGAGCTGGGACCCTGGGGGAAAAGGCAGACTGGAGAGAAGGGAAAAAAAAGGAAACAGAAGTTTCTCCTCCACACGTATCAAAGCCTGACTCAGTGTGAGGAAAAAGAAAGATTCCTTCCCCTGACTGAGGAGATTCACGATCTGTTACTAGCAAGAGTGTTTTCTTTTAAGGAATGGGCTGAGCCTAAGGGGCATGAGAGAGACGTTGCACTGGTTTGAGCTGGCTGCTGTCACTAGCCAACAAAAGAGCCTGACTGGAATATTGCCTACATGTTAGATTTGTACACCACGTTATAGTTTTAATGAAACAGAGACTCAGAAAACTTAAGTGACTTCTTCCTGGTCCAAGGGAGAGTGAGAGAAGAGACCTGGGCTTCTGGTCCACGGCTCTTCCCCCTTATACCTCTTTTTACTGGGAAGCAACACGTCCTACCTAGGAAGCTGCCGAGCCTGTGAGTTCATCTCATTTGAGATCTCTGACCTGGTTTTTCCATTTCTCAGTTACTCAGTGTTTCATTTCTCAGTTAATCAGAAAATCCAATTATCCCCCTAGACTGAGATCTTATTTTTTCTCCTCTTATAAGAAAAAGAAAAAAATCGGCATAATGGCAAATAGAATATAAGGGAGAGAATTTAGAAATGTGATTGCACTGTGTATCTAATGGTGACAGAAATTATTTTTCACTGGTTATTCATTCTACTAGTACATTATCTTCACTTTGACCCTCTCCAAGGCTCACCTGTCTACCCGACCACTGTCCTCCAGCACAGCGGTTATAAAGACAGGAGGAGGTTGGCCCACTTCATCCTTGTGTGATGCCAATTCAAAGTCAACAGGCCTCAGATGCAACTAGAACTCTTCAAAAACCATCTCCTATACCAATTCCTTATAGAGCCTTAAAAAAATAAAATATAATAAAAGGAACCAAAGACATTTAGAATACTTGTTAATGTTTTTTCCTAAAAGGAAAATAAGTGATAAGAAAACCAAAATACCCAAATCTGAATAAGCAATAAAACTCAAACAAGAGTAAGCCTAGTACTGTGTAAAATGAATGAGTCACAAAGGTCTTGTGTTCTGCTTTTTCTGTGATAGTTACAGACAGCAGAATATAGTTAAAGTAGAAGGAGACACGCTTGGGTACTTCCTCAACTCTCATTCCTTGCAAGCTGGCTTCTGTCCTCAGAGGCCTCATGAGGTCACCAAGGCTGCCCTCAATACAATGCTCACCATCTTCTCTAGGGCTCTTCACAGCTGGCCTCTCAGTCCTCTCCTTGAAGAACATCTTTGTTCTCCTGGATCCAGGATCTCCATGCTCCTGCCCCATGACCACTCTCTCTGTCTTCACTGGCTTCTCTTTATTTTTAAATTCTGGTGTTTCCTGGGGTTCCAAATCTGGTCCTCTTCTCCTCTACTACATCCCTGTCCTGGGGGAGTCTGTCCAACCCTAGGCCCTAAGACTTCCCCCTCATGAAGAATCTATGACCCTCCTTTCTGTCCTGACTTGACTCTGAGCTCCAGTCCCATGTTTCGACAGCTTGCAGCATGGCTGCATTCAGATGTCTCTCTGGCATCTCGGGTTTGTCTATAATGCTTTCCCCTTACTCTTGTCTCCCCATTCTAACACATTTCTCTATCTTGAGAAGTTGGAACATTAAGGCTGAATTCAATTGGCCCCTGGATTAGTTTGCTAGGGATGCTGTAACAAAGTACCCCAGAAACACAAAGTATTGCGTGCCTTAAACAACAGAAACCTACTGTCTCACAGTTCCGGAGGACAGAAGTCTGAGATCGAGGTGTCAAGAGGGCTGGTTCCTTCTAAGGGCTGTGAGGGGAGGACCTATTCCAGGGCTCTCTCCTTGGCTTGGAAATGGCCTCTTCTCCCTGTATCTTCACCTTGTCTTCCCTCTGTGTGTGTCTGTGTCCAAATGTCCTCTTCTCGTAAGGACACTAGCCATATTGATTAGGGTCCACCACAGTAACTTCAGCTTAACTTGATTTCCTCTGTATAGACGCTATTTCCAAACAAGGTCACATTCTGAAGTACTGGAGGTTAGAACTTGAACATATGAATTTCAGAGGGACACAATTTAACCCATAGTAACAGCCCTTCTTTCATAAAGCTTTCCCTGATCTACTTAGAAAGAATAAAATACTCCATTTTCTGTGCTCCTGTAGTGTTTTATTCGTATGCGTAGAATATCATCATTACACTGTAATATGGGTAATTTTTACATCATGAGCTCACTGAGAGCAAGATTCATAAATTATCAAGAGGCAGTGTCAGAGAGGTTAATAATATCTTGACTAATAGTTTGAATTCTGCTTCTACTACTTTCTAGTTATATGACCTTGGGCAAATTACTTAACTTTTTCTGAGCCTATTTTTCCTTGCTGATAAAATGTTTGTAACCTACCTCATAAGGATAGTCTGACAATTAAATAAAATAATACACATAAAGTCCCCAGTTAAAAACCCAGCCATAGCAGGCTCTTGGTAATGGTGGGTGGTGGATGACTGGACTTGATGTCTACAGGCCTCGCATAGGCACCAGAACACAACAGCACTCACACATGTTTGCAAAAACCCTCTAGTTCTATATTTTTCCTGCTTACAAAACATGTCCACTTGATGTCTTACCGTCATCTCACACTAATACCTAAAACATACCTCATTAATCTCTCTCTCCTACCCGCTGAACCTGCCACACCTCCGTCAGACCTGGATGCTGTCACTGACTCATCTGTCTCCTTTTCTAGGCCCTCTGCTATTCAGCTTCCTTACATTCGAGAGCAAGTTCAACCAATATTCCCAGAGTGGCTGATGGGGCTCAGGCCTCATACCAGGTAATGGGATATCATGATGAACGGTGTGGACAGGGCTTTTGCATTCAGGGAGCTTAGGCTAGCAGGAAAACCAATAAACCAATAGTAAGCATCAAATTAAAAGGAAATGTGCTGAATGAAGAGGAAACCCAGGTGCCACTAGGAGGACCTAGCTGAGCTGAGTGGTCAGAGAGGCACGTGGGGAGGCTTGGAAGAGAGAAGGAACAAGGGAGCAAGAAGATCAT